CGTTCAGCCTGGACAGGAGGTGGGAGATGGAGCCGGTAGCCCGTGGAGAGGAAGGTCTGATACGTGTTTGCTTTTCCCTTGGGAAGATTTTCATCTTTTTCATCAGTCCTTTGTTTTTTAAAAAATTCACATTCATTTTCTCCCCCCTTCCCTCTCTCTCTTTCTCCCTCTCTCCATCCCTTCTCCCTTCCTCCCCTTCATCTTCCCTCCTCCCCCTCCCTTTCCGGGATGTGAGGAAGTATTCTTTCTAGGTGAGGTAACCAAAGTTGGTACCAGACAGGGAGGACGGTCCTGGTCTGACAGGTGTGTGTCTGGTGTCTCCGGGAGTTTCTCTAAAACGCCCTGCATGTCAGGTCCCTTCTGTGGAAGGAGCTGGGAAGCCAAAAGGGACACCTCTCACGAAAATGTGGTAGTTTCTTTGAAGTAATTACAAGAAACTTCAGTATTTCAGCCATTTTATTCAAAACACCGCCTGTGATGGGGGAGAGGAGGCGCAGCCAGGGCGGGCCAGGGCTCCAGGGCCCCGCTGCCACCCGCGCTGGGACCCGAGGGTCGGAAAGGCCCTCTCGGGGCGTGGCCGTGGCTCACCCCGGAATACAGAGCCCTGAGATGTCACTGTTGGTAAACGGCGAAGCACAGGAGGCTGTAAAGCAGGCGCAGTGGTTCTCAACCTTCCTAATGCCGCGCTCTTTCATACAGTTCCTCATGTTGTGGTGACCCATAACCGTAAAATTATTTTCGTTGCTACTCATAACTAATTTGGCTACTGTTATGAATCGTAATGTAAATATCTGATATGCAGGACATATTTTCAGGGGTCGCAACCCACAGGTTGAGAACCGCTGGTTAGAGTATTAGGACTCTATTTTCCTGGCAAAGGTTAGAAAAGAGCAAAGTCTCTAAAGAAGTGATCTTTTGATAACTACATTTTAGGGCAGACTGATAGAGAATAGGTTCATAAATATTTTAAAAGAAGGATAAAAGCGTGTATAGAGACATTTGGTTTTTTTTTTATTATCGAAGTAAAATTTACATGGTGAAACGCACAAGTCTTAGGAGTACTTAATTGAAAAGCTTTGATAAATGTGTACACTCATGTAACCACTACCCCAATCAATATATTTTCATCACCCCAGAAAGTTCCTTCTTAACCCTTTGGGTCAGTGGCCACCCATCCATATGGCCCCAGGCAACTGCTGTTCTAATTTCTGTCCACATAGTTTAATTTTACCTGTTTTTGAACTTTATATAAATGGAATTATGCAATAAACGTGGGTGGCTTCTATTGCTCAAATAATGTTATTCAAATTCATCTCTGTGGTTGATATGTATCTAGTTCCTTCTCTTTTTTGGGGGGGTAGTACTACATTGTATAAATATATCACAGTTTATCCTGCTGTTGAAGAATATATAGTTTGTTCCATTCGGGGGCTATCCTATCTAATAAAAGAGAAACATGGTAATTAGCCGTACCTCCGCTACCCTTCCTATTGGCTAATCAGGGCAATATGCAAATTAACTGCCAGCCAAGATGGCAGCCGGCAGCCAGGCAGCTTGAAGTGAACATGAGGCTTGCTTGCTTCAGTGACGGAGGAAACCAAGGTTCCCTGAGCCGCGAGGCCTGCTAGTACTGGGATCAGCTGAGCAGTGAGGCCTCACTGCCCCTGTGTCAAGCAGAGCTGCAAGGCCTCCTGGCCCCTAGAGCAGCATGACAGGGGGCAGCGCCCAAACCCCCCTGATCACCCTGTGGTTTTGTGTGTGACAGGGGGTGGACCCACAACCTCCCTATCCACCCTGCTCTGTTCGTGACAGGGGAAGGCGTGCCAACCATCTGATCTGCCATGCTCTGTGCCTGATAGGGGAGAGCTCCCCAACCCCCTGACCGGTCCTGCTCTGTGTGTGACAGGGTACGGAGCCCCAACCCCCCTGACTGGCCCTGCTCTGTGTGTGACAGGAGGTTGGGGAGCGGTGCCCCAACCCCCCAATCAGCCCTACTCTGAGCGTGACTGAGGGTAGCATTGCAACCTCCTGATCGCCCTGCTCTGTGCATGACAGGGGGCGGCACCCCAACTCCTCAATCGGCCCTGCTCTAAGCCTGACCAGGGGCTGCACCTAGGGATTGGGCCTGCCCTCTGCCACACGGGAGCAGGCCTAAGCCAGCAGGTCGTTATCTCCCGAGAGGTCCCAGACTGCGAGAGGGCACAGGCCGGGCTGAGGGACCCACCTTTTCCCTCGAGTGCACAAATTTTTGTGCACCGGGCCTCTAGTTATGAATAAAGCTGCTATGAATATTCTTGTAGAGTCTCTTTGTAAGTTGCTTATTTTCATTTCCTCAAGTAAATTCCTAGGAATAAGATTACGGAGTTATATCTAACTCCATCTATTGAAAAAAAGTCTTCATTATCAACTGGTATATCTGGCATTTCTCTGATAACTAATGGTCTTAAGCACCTTTTCATGGGGTTATTCCATTCAGATATCTTCTGCAAGGTGCCTATTAAACTCAAACCCATTCTTTCATAGGTTATCTGTCTTTATTAAGAGTCAAATTGCAAGAGTTCTTTATATATTCCTTATAAAAATCCTTTTTAGATATTATGAATATTTCCTCCCACTTTGCCTTTTTGTTTTCTTCATGGAATATTTTAATGAGCAGACATTTTTAATTTGGTGAAGTACAGTTTTTCATATTTTTCTTTTAGTGCTTTTTAAACAGTCTTCTCAGGATTTTCTTCCTACCTCTGGCTCAGGAAAATATTCTTTTTTTTTTCTTCTAGAAGCTTGATTGATTTTCACTTTTTCACAGAGGTTTGAACAGATACTTATTTTTAAAAAATATTTTTATCGATTTCAGAGAGAAAAGGAGAGGGAGAGAGAATCATTGATTGGCTGCATCTTGCATGCCCCATACTGAGGTTGATTCCACAACCTGAGCATATGTCCTGACCGGAATTGAACCATGACCTCCTGGTTCATAGGTTGACGCTCAACCCTGAGCCACACAGCCTGGGCCGGATACTCATTTTAATGCAGCAACAGGAATATCATTAGCATTCTACTTAAATCAATCTAAATATTGCAGAAGTCTTCCTATCTAAAGAGGAAAAAGAATTGTTTCCAATTAAAAGGAATATTTTCTTATCATGAAACAATAATAGTAACTATAATAATATAATGATGTTTCACTCTTTTCTTTTAGGACTTTAATTTTTGGAAGTGAATAAAACTAGTTTTGGAAGACAAGATGACTACAGCTGCAGAAAGAAAGTATATTAATATTAGAAAAAGATTGGATCAGTTGGGATACCGCCAGACTCTGACAGTGGAGTGTTTACCCTTGGTAGAAAAACTTTTCAGGTAAAGATGAAAATACAGTTCTAAACCTGTATAATCCTTAATTTCATTTATTTGGTTTGATTGAACTTCACGCTACAGTACAGAAATGGGTAGAGTTTTTAAAAGCCCTTAAATCATCCGAAGCACATCTATTTGTTGCAAATCCTGCTTCTCCATCATGAATTCAGGGTCTCCATATTGTAGAACTCCAGGAGTCACCATTCACACTATACCAGTGGTTCTCAACCTTCCTAATGCCGCGACCCTTTAATACAGTTCCTCATGTTGTGGTGGCCCCCAATTTCATTGTTACAAATTGAACATAATTAAAGCATAGTGATTAATCACAAAAACAGTATGTAATTATATATGTGTTTTCCGATGGTCTTGGCGACCCCTGTGAAAGGGTCATTCGACCCCCAAAGGGGTTGCGACCCACAGGTTGAGAACTGCTGCACTATACTGTCTAAAGTAAACATTTTTGAGGGTTTTCCCTGTGGGTAGAATTACAGACTTTTTAATGTGGTTTTCTGATATAATTGGGAGTTCTATGTTGGCCTCACTGGTCTTTACTATTACATTAATAATGTGGTCATTTCTTTAGCTGTTACATATTACCTTATATGTGGTAATTCTTTAGCTGTTATGTATTACCTTAACTGAAGGATCCTTTGTGATTTTCTTTTCCACATGAGGTCTATTACTGTGGTTTACCCTGGGGCAGGGAAATAGCTTTGGGAGCTTTTGCAATAGGACAGTGATTTTCGATGGGTTGTGCCATGGCATGCACACTGGTGTGCCACAAGAATTTTTAAGACATGCAATACCTAACTATTTAGTCAGGGGCACTGATCTCTTTTCCCTTAGATTGTCAAATAAAAATGACAACAGCCAACACAAAAATAGTGTGAATAAATCAAAATTATGCCTTTTTGGTCAGGTTGGCAAAAAATACAGTTTTTATGGTGTGCCGCAGAATTTTAGTAATTAGTTATGTGTGCCTTGCGATGACAAAGGTTGAAAATCACTGCAGAAGGACTATTAAGAGATGATGATGGAGAGAATGGATGAAAAATATTTTGTGGTCTTTAGTATGGCCTTCAAAACCCTTCCTCATCTAGCCCTGCAGCTTCATCTCCCATGTATTGAACCACTTGAAGCTCCCTAAACATATGTACACTCTCACCCATGGTCTCTCCATATGCTGTTCTATCTGCCTGTAAAGTCTCTCTCTCCTCTCTCTGTCCCCTTGCCCTTGTGCTTAGTTAGCTATATATCTGCTGGATTCTATCATGTCTCTTACATGCCACCTTAACTACTTATTATTACTGGAAACTTCCATTTGACTTAGCTTTAGAATTCAAACTCTATACCTAGGAGACCAGAGACTATACCTAGGACAGGCTGAATACATAATTGACACTGAAGTATTTGTTGAGTTTATCACATCTATCTATAGTAATAAAAGGATAATATGCTAATTAGACCAGATGTCTTCCAGACATCATTCTGGACATCCTTCCTGACAAAGCCAGTGCCAGGGGGAAGCCAGCCTGGGTCCTGGGTGCCTGCCGATGGCCGGGGGAGGGAAGCCTGGGTCTAGAGGGAAGCTGGTGCTGGCAGCCAGGGGAAGGAAGGCCTACTCTTGCACAAATTTTCATGCATTGGGCCTCTAGTAGTAGTATAACTTTCTGACAAACTGTCAGTAGAATATAAGCTCCATGACAGTGGGTTCTTTATTGCTTTCCCTGCTCAATAAGTATTTTTGGGAGTAAATATTCCACTAGTCTATGTTCTTTGAGGTAAGGAACTGAATCTTATTTATTGTGTACCTTGCACTTAGCATGTAGCAGGTATTCAATAAATATTTGCTGAAAAAACAAGTAAGTTTCACAGATTCCACAGGATCAGGTGACTAATTGGGCATGGTGGAATGAGCAAGAGGGGAGAGTCAAAGATAATTCTAATGATATGTATACTAGAGGCCCGGTGCACGAGTTCATGCACCAATGGGGTCCCTCGTCCTGGCCTGTGGGGATCGGGCTGAACCAGCTCTCCAACATCCCCTGAGGGGTCCTGGATTGCGAGAGGGTACAGGCCAGGCCGAGGGATCCCAACTGTGCATATACGGTTCAGGGAGGGACCGCAGGAGGGCTCTAGGGCATTTCCAGCCCATCTCGCCCAGTCCTAATCGGCTGGACTCCAGCAGCAAGGTAACCTACCGGATGGAGTGTCTGACCCTGGTCAGTGCACATCATAGTGACTGGTCAAATGGTTGAATTAACAGTCAGACACTTAGTATATTAGGCTTTTATTATATAGGACTAGAGGCCCAATGCACGAAATTCATGCAAGAGTAGACCTTTTTTCTCCCGGCTGCCAGCACCGGCTTCCCTTGGGCACCCGGGACCCAGGCTTCCCTCTGGCTGCTGGCAGGCACCAGGACCCAGGTTTCCCTCACAGCCCCAGCTTCATCTGGTCTAATTAGCATATTATGCTTTTATTATTATAGATAATTTATAACTTAATCTTGTTTTGAGGAATTTATTAATGCTTTATAGTACCTTGAAAGATTCCTAAGTGTTTGTTTTTATATTTGAATTCACTTGGCATTTAATATATTTAAGCCTTTTATAATTATACTAGAGGCCCAGTGCACAAAAATTTGTGCACCCCGGGGGGAGGGGGAGTCTCCTCAGCCCGGCCTGTGCCCTCTCGCAGTCTGGGACCCCTCGGGAAATAACGACCTGCTGGCTTAGGCCTGCTCCCGGGTGGCAGAGGGAAGGCCCAAACCCTAGGTGCAGCCCCTGGTCGGGCTCAGAGCAGGGCCGATGGGAGAGTTGGGGCACCGCCCCCTGTCATGCACAGAGCAGGGCAGATTGGGAGGTTGCGATGCTGCCCTCAGTCACGCTCGGGGTAGGGCCGATTGGGGGGGTGGGCCGC